AAACATTATTTAAATTTTTTTGACAGTTGGAGAGCTTATTCTGTCTTACTTTATTAATCAGTCTAAAGCTGAAATCTAAAATGAAGTTATTTTACACGACGATATTGTGTTTATGTTTGTGAGTTTGTCACGGATCAATCATTCCATCATTTACAATTTTGCTATTATGTTAGCGAGGAGGGATATTCTTATTACCAAAATCTTCTACTACCAACTTATTACCTATCTAATAACCATTGGATCAACATTTTCTCTTTTTTCAAAAACTTTTTAGCATTCTCTCTCTTTGATTCAATGGTGATTAGATAGGTAGTAAGTTAGTAGTATAAGATTTTGGTAGTAAGAATATCCTTCCTCTATGTTTGCTTGGGAAATGCAGATACCATTATCTGTTCCTTAAGGGATCGTTTGGTACACGAATTTTTCTTGAATTCTCGGAAAACTAAATTTTTTTAAATTTTAAATTTTCAGATATTATCGTAAACTGAATGTAAAAATCATATTTTTAAAAATCGAGATTCTCGGACAAATAGAAATTTCTTGTGTACCCAACGCTCCCTAAGGAACAGAAAATGGTTAATTGCTATATATAACGACACGAAGCCGAAATATAAGATTAATTGCTCGTAGTATAATAATTATGTAAATTTATAATTTTATCTAGTTTGTACAACAGCCAAATAAGAAAATGAAAAATAAATAAATAAATGTTTCTTTGCCTTTTCTTTTTATCAATTTCCCGTTCATTTTGTTCAGTTATTTTTAATTTTGTGCCAAAACAAAATCACAAAAAAAAAACGTGAGAGAAAAGACTATAAAAGGGATGTATTCCGTGATGACATTTGCTAATTTGTAGCATGTTTAAAAAAAAAAAAAAAAAAAACTCTGCTGTGTGCACGTGGTATCATAAACTCTATCACGTGATGAGTGAGTGCTTGAAAATTACGTTCATAGGCTGCGTGCGAAATGTGAATTGTGACAAAAGGGCCAATTTCCCCCACCTATTTGATATAAGCTCAGAATTAAAGTCACTTGTCTTGAACAATCCCCTAACTATACGTTAAGCAATCTCCTAACTTATGTAACACCGATACGACACACGACATGTGACATGACATGTTAATTTTAAAAAATTATGAATTTCGACACGTTGGGACACGTTTTAATATTAAATAATATTTTTAATTTATATAGTGTATATTTCATTTAATATTCAATAATTTAACAAAAAATAAAACTAAATTAATAATATTCATCAACACGTTATAAAGATGGAAGCTTTAATAAAAAAAATAAGAACTGAGATGAGAGAGAGATATAATATCATATAGAGAGATCAAATCATATTAGAGAAATCAGAGAGAGAAGATACAACAAGAGCGTGATAGGAATTGACAACAATGATGCTGAGATGATCTCTTATCTATTTAAGGGAAAAAAAGACAAAAAGATAAAATTGATATGATCAGGTGGAAGCTTTATTAATATATTTTAACTTTTAAAAAAAGTATAAATTTTTATAAAAAAGTATTAAAAAAAAATTAAAAAAAATTATGAAAATACCATTTGATCGTGTCGGACACAGTCAAATTCGCGTGTCGGAATGGTCAACGTGTCGAAAAAAGTCAACAGCATGTCCGACACCGTGTCGGAGCGTGTCGCCGTGTCGGAGCGTGTCAAACCTGACTCTTTCTATTTTTACAAGTATACGTGCTTCCTTGCTCCTAACTATACGTCTGAGGGAAGAGCTTGGGGTGTGTTAGGTGAGGTTGCTTCCCTACCATTACACCTTTTTAGTTTAATTCTTAATATAATCAGCTACAAGATGAGGGCAGATTTTAGTGGTTTTGGTCCAAAAGTTCATTTACAAAATTAATTTGGTAATTACCTTTTGCTGCCCCGATGATTGACACCAACTACTCCCTCCTTTTTCATCTTTTAGAATCTTTGGGTTTAATGTTTTTTATGTTAAGAAGATATATTTTTTTTTATACATACATAATAAAAGTGTATAGGATCCAAATGAGATCATGTGAAAATAAGAAAGAAAAAAAAAAATTAAGTCTGATATATTTTTATGTATGTATAAGAAATAAAATTAATTTTTATTTTTCGAAACCATTTTGCAAACAATTTACACTACATAATTGAGATATCAACACAAACATGTTACTTACCAAATATGGGTTTTGAGTAAAATTTGATAATATTCCATATAGATAAAACCTTTACTATAGAATTAATCCAATTCTATTTTGTAAAGAGTTCCTAACATCTTTTTGTTCATACAATTTCTTAAAACAAAGTATTAAATGAAAGATTAAAAGTATTTAATATCTTTTGTTTGATTCGGGGATCAATATTTATCTATGACCCGTCCAGTAAGTGATCAACAATGGAGGACGTGTGATTATCACGGGGTTGACTGATCAATAGATGCAAGGATTTAGGAGCATGGAGCCAAAGAGTGGGTACAACTACAGATGCATAGTGGATATGGAAGTTGAGGCTTTTAGAAATAGGGATGGCAATGTACCTAAAGGGTAGAACTTGATATTTATAAGGGGATGTTACTCTAGAGCTTGTACCTAATTGGAATATTAGATATCTCATTCAGTAAGGAGATAATTGCCATTTTCAATGGATATGGAATACTTCTAAAAACAGGATCCGTTTAGACACAATGGATCTCGTTTAGGTATCCATGTCCATAACATTTTTTAAACTTTAATCATAACTTTTTTTTTAAATCTTATGATCCATGAACCAAATCTTAATATTTTATAAAGTTTTTTTCTTTAAAAACTTAATAATATGTAAACTCTAATGTAATTTTACATGTCTAATTTATAGAGCAATTTATTGTTCCATGAGTTTAGCATGATAAGCTACTTAATAAGTAACAATATAATATCGATGTAAGAATCATTTTTAATCATTCTTCTAATAATTATTTTAAAGTGAATGAAATATTAAATAATTTTTATATTATTAAGGTACTAATTATACCTTTCTGGTCATTTAATTTTGGAAAAAATATTTATCCTTTTAAAAGATATACTTTTATGTCATTTTAGATCTTAACTGTTGATTTCTGTCAATCAACGATTATGATTTATTGGATCGAACTTATTAATTAATTAATAATTCGTAATAAAATCCAATAAATCCTAATCATTAAAAAGACAAATATTTTTTCCTTTAATTTTTATGTCAAATATTATAAAGATTATTAAGAATATATTTTCAAAATAAAACTGTTTTGAACTTATGTGTTGAACCCGTGATCGTGATGCAGACCAACCACCGTCCGGCTCGGCTATAAACCCCAAATACTAAATTTATAAATATAAGAAGTCTCATTGACTGATTAATATCTCAACCTATTCAGGTATTTCTGACCGAACAATATAATGATGAAATACTCTTAAAACAAGAAAAATCAGTTGCTATGATTTAATAAATGGTAAAATGTGTGTCATTTTAAAGAATGTAAAATTGTGTCATTTCAAGAGAGAGAAAGAAATAGATAAAGGAGGAGAGAGAGTTGACAAAAAAAAATAAAGGTGTGAGTCTCATTTTTTTGTGAGAGTGAAAGAATATAAGTTGTATTATTTAGAAATATAAACACTTTTCCCGTAAATAAATATTCATTACCGCGCAACTATGTATATAGTCATTCCTGCCGTATATATTAACCGCATCTTTAATATTGTACATATTATATACACTTAATTGCAAATAAAAATATCTAAGTCTTGATTAATGACATTGTGGTCGTGTTAGATTTGAACCGGCCATGGTTGACGAATGACGAGTAACGGAGAGGACTTGGTTTATGTCACCATTGGTGGGTGGTGGCCAGAGAATATTGGTAAACGGAATGCTTCTTAGGTATGCGCAATGCAGGTGGCATCATCGTACTCGACATAGCTTTTCACGTCAAACACAATAACATTTAAGAAAATAATTTTCTTTTCTCTTCCTTTTCTTTCCTGGTCCCAAGGATTGAAAAATTTGGAGAAGTAGGCATTCTTATAATGTTTGTTTTTCAACTTGGAATGACTTAAAAAATAGATTGTGGGAATATTTTATTTCTTACGTATCCACGCGTAATAAATCCCATTGAAGGCACATTTAATTTCTATTAAATAGATTGCATAGGAACAACCATTGTTGGTGACCTAAAAAATGCCAAGCACTAAGATTTGTGAAGGCACACCATCAAATATTATTATTATTATTGGAAGACTTTGGCTAAGAGGCTAACATGATTAGAATAACGAATCTCAATTCCACAACCACACATTACCCACTGATCCACTTCATTTTCCATTTATTTATTTGGGAGATATTTTTAGGTATCAAAGTTTTGCATGTTTTAAGAAATAATTTTGTTTTTACATATATATAAAAGTGTATAGAGATTATATATTTTTTTCCCATTTGTCTTCACATGGATCTACATGGATCTCACATGTTTTTATGGGTGTGAGAGATAAAATTATTTTCTATAACATAAAAAATATTAACCCTATAATTTTATCTCCAAAATACACATAAAAATATATATAATCTATATTTTTTTTTCTCTTCTCTTCACTTCACATATTTTTACATGGACACATTTATTTTTTTATGTGTTTAAAAAATAATTTTATTTCCTAATACCTGTAAAGAACTTGTAAACCTCGACGTCATATGATGGGTTAAGTCGTGTGTACTATGTACAAATACATTGAAATGTAGTACATATGATATTTTTAATATATAAATATCCTAACATAGTGCCATATATTATCACAATCTTACATAATTTTATTGATATAAAGGAAAATTATATGAAGTGATTTAAATTCAAATAAAAACCATTAAAATGCGAGCAAAGTGAGAGAACGAAAAAGGGGGAATTTGATTCTGTGAAGTATATAATCAGACAAGAGAGTTGAGTAAGACAGACGGTGAGTGAATTGAATACGCGTCGTTGCTAAATGGTAACATATATGGTCATAGGAGCTGGTGGAACTTCAACTCATACTCTATCATAAGACTTGGTTCTGTTTTGGATGAAAAGGATTTGACACGAGTGGGAACAAGAGAGTGCAGTTGTCAACACACTGTTCATTGTTCATCGTCAATAAGGACCAATCCATAGCTAGACACGCAAGCATTCAGGTTCAGGTCTCTGCCTTCCTTTTTGTCTTTAAACCGTGCCCTTTCTGATCGTTTTGCTCTCTGTTTTGTGCGTTCTTTACTTCTCTCATCTGTTGGTTCGTGTGGAATCGTTGAGGTTGAGATCCCTTCAACTCTTTGTTTTTCTTTTTTCATATGGGTTTCACTGCTTCAGCTGCCACCATTCGTTGGTATGTCAGGTGATCTTCAAAGTTTGTTGCTTTGAGCTTTTTCATGGTTGCCCTTTAAGTTTATGAGCCGGTTTTACTACCTGGGCATTGCTTTCTCTGTTTTTTTTTTTTTTTAGTTTTCGTTTTGCCTTTCACTGTTCTGGGTCTGAAACAATTATTCAGAGGAAGATCCGGGTCTGAAAAAAAAAATGGTGGAAAACCTTCAATTTTGTTGTTGCTTTGCAAAAACAAAAAAACCAAAAAACACGTTTTAGCTGTCAATGATTTTTTTTTTTTTTGGGTACTTTGCAGTGAAAGTGAAACTTTACTCTTCTTTAAATGATCAGAAAGAGCGTCTGGAGAGTGTTGGATCTGATTGAAACGGTCAGTGAGTTGTTGCTTCCTGGTTTTGTTTTTGGTGTAATTTTTTTCCGTCCCTTTTTTATTTTTCTGGGGAATAAAACAAATTAAGTTTGCTGTGAAGGAAAGGCTTTTGATTGCAGGTGTAGTTTAATGTTTTGGACAGCTGTGTGTTTTTACAATTTTTCATGTGATCCTTGTTTTAGGGGGAATATTCATTGTTTGCAGCTCTGTTTCCGTGTTCCTAGGTGCTTATGTTGTAAGCCATTTGATGTCAGTTTCGGAAATTGCTCGGGTTACTTTATTTGAGATTTGAGTGTCGTTCAAGTTTGGTTGGTGTAGCCAGATAAAGGGGAGTAGGTTCAGTAATATCTGGGGCGTGTTCTTGCCATCATCGTCAATATTCTAAGTATGTTTTTCCGTTTTTGAGGTTAAATTAATCCCTCTCTCTCCAATTCACAAATATTAGCTCTTTTCGTCTGTTGTCACACTGCACGTGCATGAATATCTCCTCCTGCGCAAAATAAATTTGGTGCTCTCGCAGTCTGATTTTACGTATAAGGTGAAATTGTAGGAATGAAGTTCACTTAGTTTTGCAATGATGCTTTTCTGTTTTGGACCTGAGGTAGTTTTCACCAGTAATTTAGCTCAAGGACAATCCTTTATTTTTTTTATTATATAATTTTGCGGGTGTGGTCATTTTCTTTGTCAACATATTTTTTTTTGTGCAATATGGTAACTTGAAATTTTGTTGTTTGGACCAGTTGGATTTGTTGGTGATGCCAAACTAATTTGTTGAGATATATAAAACCATTAAAAAAGCCCTCACCCACTAGCTTAAGCTTTTGGGTTGAATTGGTTCTTTTAGTGGTATCAGAGCCTCGTATCCCGGGTTCGATCCTCGCCGCCCTCCATTTTCTTGAGAGGGCGTGTTGAGAAATATAGTCCCACATTGGTGGTATGGGCAACTAATTTGAGGTTTATAAGGCCTTGGGCACTCCCATCCTTTGAGCTAGCTTTTGGGGTGGTGACCTCAAGGTTCTTAACATGGTATCAGAGCGTTCAAAATCTCACCGCCTCCCACTTTCTTTGTAGTGGAATTTCCACATGTAGGTGGGCTTGTATGTTGTCCACCTTTCAAGCCCAGTGGGCTCTCGTATGAGGGGGCGTGTTGAGATATATAGTCCCACATTAGTTGTATGTGCAACTAATGTGGAGTTCCTAAGGCTTTAGGCACTCCCACCCTTTGAGCTAGCTTTTGGGGTGGTGACCTCAAGGTTTTTAACATAATAAATACTCACTTGGAATTTTGATCATGGTTCTTTTTATGTCTTTTTGATTAAATCACCTGCTTCACACATTCTTAATGATTGTTTTTGAAAATTATCTAGAAGTTAATATTTTAAACATTGGCTTGAAATAGCTTTTGATGCTTTCTGTCACAGCAAGTAGTTTGTGATGAAAACTGAATAAAAGATTCTATTTTCCATGTCGTCTTTCAAATCATGGAGATGGTTGATGAGAAAAAAGAGTGGTTTGTCTGATGGGGTATGTCCTATTTTCTTAGAATCTCATTCCTTTGGATTAGGAGAATTTCTAGTAAACAATATTCAATTTTGAAGATTTATGTGTAACTTCACTATTTTAACATTAATTTTATTGGAGCAGGGGAAATCAAGTATCAAGATGAAACAGCTGCCTTTTATGGCAATTGTGTGTACAGTAATGCTGTTCATTGTGTATAGAACTACGAAGTATCAGTATCACCAAGAAGAGGTGAGAGATTAGTAGAGTTCTTTTGGATATCATTGTATGTATGTGATGACCAAGGGTCAAAATGTTGATTAAATGTCTAGCTAATTGATGCTTAGCAGCATCTTGTTAAGGATATATTGGTAAGGCTTTATCCAGAGAGTCCTATAACCATGTCAATTTTCATTTGATCAGAGAATTTGTCAAATATTAAACTACTAGACTCTTTCTCCTCCTTATAATGCACCATTAAATGACACATTGTATTCTTGCACTGAGTGTGCTAATTTAATTTTTTCTCTTCTTTGTTGATCTTCTGCCACTATCAGATTGACAAAAAATGGAGTTTCTGGGGAGAAACAAAGGTAAAAACTCTGATGTTAGTTTACTTGCCCAACTAACTTACTGATACCGGGTTATTTTCAAATCCTTGCGCTAATATGATTCTGTAACTTGGATGTATATTGATGTACGTTGGTACTTTTGATGCTACTGCAGGCATTTCCTGCGACTTCTGGGAAGCTGAAAGGCTTGCCACGAGGTATAATACACGCTGCTTCAGATTTGGAGATGAGGCCATTATGGTTGAGAAGTAGTTCAAGGTCAAAGGTAAGCATTTCTGCATTATACTTCTGTATTTTATATCTATTGAAACTGACAGATGATAGGTAGTATTTGAGAAAATGTTGCGTTATATGAGGTAACAAATCCAGTGATCATGAAATTGCAGGCTAGTGTTTATTCCAATCGTAACTTGCTGGCAGTTCCAGTTGGTATTAAACAAAAGCATAATGTCGATGCCATGGTGCAAAAGGTATTTTTGATGATTTTGCCTAGATTGTTAAAATTACTTGAATCATCATACCTTATCTAATATCATTTATTTCAGTTTCTTCCAGAAAATTTTACAATTATTTTATTCCATTATGATGGCAATGTGGATGGGTGGTGGAATCTTAATTGGAGTAGCAAGGCTGTACACATTGTTGCTCAGAATCAAACAAAATGGTAAGTATGAGGTCACTGATCACTGATGTCTGCTTTTTTCTGTCTGAAAACCTTATATTGTGAATCATGTGTTCGTTGAAGGGAGATTGCTTCAAGTCTTTTGAGGTAACTAAAAATAAATGGGGGCGTATTATGTCTTCTTCATGGAAAGAATTTTTTGTAAATCAAAATGTCTCTTGGACTCAGATTGAGCCAGTTAGGCTATGCAAATGCCATGGATATTTTATAATTGTTTTGCCTTCTGTCGAAGTATTGATATCTCAGTTTTAGTTTATTTTTCCTTTTTCTGCCTGGGAACTGCAAAAATGCAATGGCAAGGCTGCGCACAATTGACCCTTGCCCTACCCTTGTAAAGTCGGGAGCCTTGTGCACTGGGTCCCCCCACCACTGAAATTGAAAAAGTATTAGGTAGTAATATAACAGCTCGACAAAGCTATGGGAATCTTCTAGTTATAGATGATGAATTGGGCAATGTATCACTGCTCGACCCTGATATGGCTTTGTAGTTCACCTATTCAGTCTGTTGTGACTCTGGGCATATCAGACTGGTGGTCCTCTTATGATAGTTGCCTCAGATGTGTAGTTTTATTTCTAACATTACATGCATGCGTATGCATACACACTTTTTATGTATTTGCATGATTTCAAAACTTCGATATTAATTCGGGAGTTCTTTGTCAGGTGGTTTGCAAAAAGATTTCTACATCCGGATATAGTTTCTATTTATGATTATATCTTTCTCTGGGATGAGGATTTAGGGGTGGAGCATTTTTCTCCATCAAGGTATGAATGATGCTTTTGTTGCTCCTTTGCTGGTGGTATTTTGATATTTGTGTGCAGTCTGCCTCTGATATGAATGGTTACTGTTTTATATGCTAGCAGCACTGCCTCAACCTGCAATGCTGGTGTAAATGAGATGAAAATAATCCAATTTTATTTGATTTATCATATGATATTGTAAAGAACCAATTCGACCCAAAAGCTTAAGCTGTTGGGTGAGGCTTCATTAATGATTTTATATATTTCAACACGCCCTCTCACACGAAAGTCCACTGGGCTTGAAGGGTGGACGATGCACAGGCCCACCTACCTGCGCGAAGAAAGAAATTCCACTAGAAAGAAAGTTGGGGGGGGGGGTGAGGATCGAACCCGGTACACCGCGGCTCTGATACCATGTAAAGAACCAATTCAACCCAAAAGCTTAAGCTGTTGGGTGAGGTTACATTAATGGTTTTATATATCTCAACAGATATATTATTTTTTTATTTTTTCTTTTTAAAATTGAAAGCTGAATGAAAATTGACTTTGGATTTTCTGCCTCTTTGATGAACATGCATTATAAGATCTATATTATCCTTATCAAATTATTAAGCTTGTATAAGGTTGCTATGCAATCTTTGCATGTCTAGGAAGTTGGAAAAAGTGGTTATTTGTTGGATTTGTATTCTTAATCTAGTTCATAAGGCTAGTCAGTAACCTCTTGACAGTCTTTTATACTCATCAAATCATGGAAAGAATTAATGTAGGCTTCTATTCTCTGCAGATATGTTAAAATTGTAAAGGAAGAAGGTTTGGAGATATCTCAACCAGCTCTCGACCCAAATTCAACAGAGATACATCATAGAATTACAATTAGAGCTAGAACCAAGAAAGTTCATAGGTGACTTATTATTTGAGACTATTCATATGTACTTGCTAATCAATGGTTATTGTACTTACACTGGATGTTTTCATTAATGCAGAAGAGTCTACGAACGCAGAGGCAGTACGAGGTGTTCAGATGCAAGTGAAGGGCCACCATGCACTGGGTAACTGTTACTTTATTTGAATCTCGTGGAGCTGTGTAATTTTTCTAGATATTGTTTGTGTTGGATCTTGTTCATGTGTGTTATCAATTATCATCCCTCCATTTTCCATCAAGATGGAGATGTTTAAATTTGTTCTGATGTTGAATCAAGACTGTATGTGTGTATTGTAATAAGGAAAAACTAATTTATCGTCAACTCGCACAAGGTGACAACTTTTGATTTAATAACAAAACAAAAGCTAGTCACTTTTGAACTGTGAGGTCAACTGATTAAAACAAAAAACATCTATGTATATCTTCTAGATGACTAATATGAAAATTCTTTACTTAGGTAAAAAGGATGTGTCGTGTGTGCTGCTGTCTTATTTTTATTTTGTGTAAGCTAAAAAGGGCTCGTTTCTTTGACTGTGTTAGTCATAAAAATTCTTTTTTTTTTCTGCCTTCTTCATTGTTTTGCACTTTTAGGATGACAGTGCAGATTAGGGTTGAAAAGGGTTTCATAGAAGTATATGGAATGACCTGTAAAATGTTACTTGGTCTTTCTGCAAGATGACATTTTTAGAATATATCTGAATATTTTTGGTGCACTCTTTGAAGTTTAAATAATGCAAGCACTGGAATCTTCTCTTCAACTATGTCAAAAGATGAAAAATGCTGTTGAATTTGTTATGTTTTAGTTGATTTGTTGTACGCTATGTTTTCCTCCGGGATCCTTTCTATTTCCTTTATGTGGAGTCTGGACTCTTTAGCAGAGGCATAAGAAAAATGATAAGAGAAAATAATAATGTTTCCTTTGTGGTGATTTATAATAAATCTTGGCATGCATATTTATAATCATGTTATGAATGACACAAACTTTGTTACAACTTGTGTAGGTTTGTGGAAGGTATGGCTCCAGTTTTCTCTCGATCTGCCTGGTATTGTACTTGGCATCTTATACAGGTAATATTATTTCCACGGTCACTAGGAATATTTAATTTAAGTTCTAAACAAAGACAAGATCTAAAATTCTTTCAAAATTATCCGAGAATTTCGTTTCTTCTAGGTGTACTATCATGTTACATACCATGGACCACTTTGTTTTCTTCTAAATGAGTAGCTTTGTTAGGCACTTAGAATGCTCCTGGCTACATTTTGCAATTTTTTTACCTTTTTTTTTTTAACCTTTTATACAATTAGAAATGGAAATACTACAACAATTAGGTAAATAATAGTATTTTATTAACCATTGCTAACTTTTAAAACATTGGTTCTCACTTCTTTCTTTTAATTAAAGATTTGTGCTTGCAAGTTAATTCTATACCAATCTTATATGTTGTACGATAGCTGTGTTGTATCTCGGTGTCTGTCATATCAAATTTATGTCCCCTGTTGTATCCATGCTTACTAGCCAAAATTTGATGATTATCGTTTTCAACCATGTCAGTTTTTCTAGTTATCGATATGGTTGCAAATGGGTTTTCACAGATGAGGTTATGTATGGACTTTTGCCTTCATCTAGCTGTAGAAATGAAAACTTGTTTTCATTCCCTTGATTTGCTTGCATTTTATTTTAGTTTGTTTTGATTCCCTTGATTTGCGTGCGTTTTATTTTAGTTGACTTCCCGATGAAGTTTAACTTTGTCACTTTTGTAATTTTTAAAATTCAATATTTGCTATGGGTTACTAATAGATCAAAGTATTCCATGTTCTTGGCATTCAATATTGGTAACTCACAATTACTGTTTGTATTTTCTCCAGAATGACCTTGTCCATGGATGGGGAATGGATATGAAACTAGGATATTGTGCACAGGTGAGAATCACACATTTTTTGGACAAGCTTTATTACTTTTGGTAGTACTAAATTTTTTTTCCCCTTTTATTTTCTTCTCCGATGGGAGTTCCATCTGATGGGCAAGATGTCTTCCTGTATGATTCTCATGGCCATGCAACTCTGTTATGCTGCAGTCTTTACATAATGCACCAATGCTGCATGCAGTAATCTTTCTTGTGACAAGCTGAAAGCCTTTTGGTCTAGTTTCTAATATCTTATATGATATTGGGTGCCTCTGGCAAGAGATATAGTTATGGAATATTGTAAAGAACTTTGGGATACACCACCCCAAAAGCTAGCTCAAGGGGTGGGAGTGCCCAAAGCCTTATAAACTCCACATTAGTTGCTCATACAACCAATGTGAGACTATATATCTCAACACGCCCCCTCTCGCAAGAGCCCTCTTGGCTTGAAGCGTGGATTATGCAACAGGCCCAATCTTTGGTTTACCTTTTGTGCTTCCACTTTTAAAGTGGGGGCGGTGAGGATCGAACCTCGAGCTCTGGTACCATATAAAGAACCTTGGGATACTCCACCCCAAAAGCTAGCTCAAGGGGTGAGAGTGCCTAAAGCCTTATAAACTCTACATTAGTTGCTCATACAACCAATGTGGGACTATATATCTCAACAAGCCTCCCCACTTTCTCTTGTGGACTTTCTTAGCACAGGTAGACTGGGCCTGTTGCATCATCCACTCTTCAAGCCCAATGGGCTCTCGTGTGAGGGGGCGTGTTGAGATATATAGTCCCACATTGGTTGTATGTGCAACTAATGTGGAGTTTATAAGGCCTTGGGCACTCCCACCCTTTGAGCTAGCTTTTGGGGTGGTGTATCCCAAGGTTCTTTACATGGTATCAGAGCCTCGCCGTCCCCCACTTTCTCTTGTGGAGTTTCTTAGGACAGGTAGGCTGAGCCTGTTGCGTTGTCCACTCTTCAAGCCCAATGGGCTTTTGTGTGAGGGAGCGTGTTGAGATATATAGTCCCACAACTAATGTGGAGTTTATAAGGCCTTGGACACTCCCACCTTTTGAGCTAGCTTTTGGAATGGTGTATCCCAAGGTTCTTTACAAATATTCTTTTACACATTTTTGTGTGGCAGCATTAGTATTTCAATTTGAAATATATCATGCTTCCATTGATCCGTTCGCTTTATATATAAACAATTGATCATGTGTGTGTATACTAGGCTGACCCGCACTTATCTTTTTCCGTCCTCCTCTTTGGGCATCATTTTCAGCATGACAATTATCTTAGTCAGATCAATGTGATTTTTCAGGGAGATCGAACTAAAAATGTGGGAGTTGTTGATAGTGAATATGTTGTTCACAAGGGAATACAAACTCTGGGTGGGAGCGGTCGTGGTAAAACGAAGGTATTTTATTTGCCTCCTCTCTAAGTCTTGGAATAGATTTTGTATCCATAAGCGTCCTTAATTTATAGTGTATCACTGCAAACCAAGAATATATCATCAGTTGGCTAACTTGATCAGTAACAAGAGTGTAATCATCCTGGATTGAATTAATTTTAGCTAATAGATTTTATAATTTTCTTGCAATTAACTGAAGATCATATGAAATGGAATAATCTACCATGTTTAGTAGTTTGTAGTGAATTTTTTGCTTCTTGAAATAATAATATCTTCCACCACATTTTGCAGGTTTCAAAACTTAAAAAGACAACTACGGTACTTTTTTTTTTTTTTGATGACATTTAGATGGTTATTCTCTATAATTCAATTTCATTAACTATCATATTGTTTCTAAAACTCACTTTGTTGTTTGATATTCTATCCTTTCCTAAGCAGAGACAAGGTGGAGCGGCAATTGATATGCGAACTGAGGTGAGGCTTTTGAAATAGTTTCAAAAACTAAAGTGTTGTATTGATTACTTGCAAATGAGTAATGACATTGTTTACATCTTTTGACATGACATGGGACTGTGCAGATACGAAGGCAATCAACATGGGAATTTGAAATCTTCAAAGAGCGATGGAATCAAGCTATTGCTGAGGACAAAAACTGGGTTGATCCATTCAAGAGTGACCAAAGACGCTTAAGAAGACGGCGTGGCACCCAACGGTTTTCTTAGCACTTTTGTTTACACGATTGGTTGGATATGTTAAAAAGTTTCATTCACAGGCATTACCTAGGCTTAATTTTAGTTTGTGTAGCTGACTGAATTCTTAATTCAATTCAATTTTTGAAAAATCACATTTTCATTTATATTCTTTTGTTTGGATTTTGTTCCTAGCACCCTTCTTTCCTTGCCCTCTCTCTCTCTCTCTCTCTCTCCAATTCCTCCCCCTGCCCTTTTTTAATGTAATTATCATGGTTTTAATGTTTTTATAGTGAAGGTCGATAAGTTATCTATATTCGTTACCAAAACGACGTTGTTTTGGATTGAAAAATTAAAAAATTATAATAAAAAAGACTATTATAACTCTGAAATAAATTATAATTACAAAAATATCTTGATTTTTGTCTCAAAACGTCATTGTTTTGGATTCAATGTAGATACGTTATCTAATTGTCGAAAAGCGAACCCAAGGCAATTATCATATATGCACAGTTTAGTATTATCATTATAGTTCAAAAGAAAAAAGTTTGTCATTATGTAGTGCTTTTGGTTGTCTATGTTCCACATTTTAAGTCAGGACAATGAATATGGCTGGGATTTTGTGAACTGGAGTTGGTGGCTCTCACGTAGGTTTGGTTGTTATTATTGTGTAGTTGTTGGCTCCAATCTTCCGAGAAAACACTTCCTTATTTAGGCATTGATGTATTTGGTTTTGGAAGTTGGGTTCTAATAAGATGGTCTTTGCCACGCTAAATTTAAATTTCATCTCATTTTAAACATAGGGTGAGTTCGATGTTATAGCCGATTTAAGAAAGTATAATAGAAATATGGTATTTCCTAAAAGCATTAAAATATGAACGATTATTAGTTTATGCAATGGTGGTTAAGTGATATTGAGTTTGGTGTAACCGAGCCATGTGGTGAGCAGAAAGCGAATTATTCTTGCGCCTTTTACTAAAAAAAGAAGTATGTTTTCATTGAGAAGCGGGTATGGGAGAATGCCTTGCCCAATGACCCAATGTTTGAGTTCAAGTAATTGATGCGAGTAGTTTTAGTAATTTATTTGTAAAAGATAACCAGCACGAATTGAACCTTCAACTCAACTCAAGGCATTGACCTGTTTTACTCATGGTATAGGTGTAGCAGTGTTTAGTCCTTGTGGATTCTCATTTTCGGGGCGTTTGGTAGAAAAATACTTTTACAGGTAAATAATAATTTTTGGGAATACGATGAGAAATTTTTTTTCCTAGGTAAGTTAATAAAAAGGTGTTTGGTAAGCCAATTTTTTTTTCAAAAATATTGAGTTAATTTTACTGATGTTGTGTGTTAATTTTTCCACCACATGGGAAAAAACAATTCCACCCTTCAATGGTATTCTTCTCCAACTATTTTACATGCAGTGGCGGAGCCACACCAAATTTTAGGTGGTGCCAAATTTTTTTAACATATTAAATTATTAAAATATTTATTATAATTACACAAACTAATCAGAAAAAAAATTTACTATAAATTCTAACACAGTTATCTAAATTATGTATTAAATAATATCACGTAACATTGAAAATTCAAATGAACAATTATCAATGATTATATATTAAAGCAAACATATAAAAAGGCACTAACATTTTCGATAAGCATTTCAAATATAAGAATTTCACTTTCCTCTCACAGCATAATAGGTAGGGGATATGTTATTTTATCTACCATTTTTTTCGTCTACCTTTGCCTATTACTCTCCAACATCGTTAGATCAGAATTTTAATAAGAGAAAGAAATAATAAATGTAATTGAGATTCTGATCCAATGGTATTGAAGAGTGGTAAGCAAAGCTAGACAGAAAAAATGGTAGGTAGAATAACCTATCCCAATAAGTAATGGACCAAGCATTGTCCTAAGGATATGAAAACACACAAATATAATAAATATATGCTTAATAACATTTAATAAATAATTTAAAATATAATAGAAAAATGCATACCTAAAATTGTAAACGACGCTTTTTTAAACTGACAAAATCTTCAAGGATAGAATCTCCTAATTCTTGAATAAGTTACTTTGTACTTGAAACTAATTGTATATCATTCAAAATATCTTGAGATTTTTGTTGTAACGCTTGAAAAAGAATTTCAGTGATGCTCATTATCTCTTTCATCAAAAATAAATTAAAGATAAATTTAAAGGAATTGATCATCTTATAAGATGTAGTAGTAGCATCTTCTCTTTGAGAGTAATTTGAGCCTTCACTACGAATTATTTTAAGTAAGTAGCATCTCCTCTTTGAGAATAATTTGAGCCTTTATTATGATTGTAATTGTAAGTCACAAATTAAAGCTTTGAAAGTAATTTTAATTGATGGGTTAGGTAAAAGGGTTTGGGTATTGAGTTTTATTTTTCTGATTGAAAAACATAAATATAATTATATTTATTTAGGTGGTGCCAAATTACAAATTTAATCTTAGTTAATTATAATTAATTATATATTTATATATAACAAGTAATTTTTTTTAAAACCAAGCAGCACCTGCTGGCATAGGAGTGGCTACGCCACTGTTTACATGGAAAAGCAAATGATGAGAAAAAAAATTTCTTAGCCATATTTTTACTTTACCTCCTAACAAATATATTCAAATAATTTTTCCACCTCATTTTTTTAAGAATTTTTTTTTCACCTTCTGCCAAACACCCTTTAGGTAGTGTTTGGTTTGAGTTTTTTTGTTTAGATCTCCGTTCATCTGACTTTGATATTCTATATAAAAATTTACCCAACAAACTCACTTCCCCAGCCGCCTTTCAGAAAAAGAAAAGAAGAACACCGTTGAAGTTTACCACTTCCAACGTGGTATTAGCATAAAACCAGATAAATGAGAAAAAAGTGAACAAAAATGTGACCATACTACCCTCTTCTGACTATATCTGTGCAAGCTATTTTCGAGACTACCAAAATATGACTACACTGTTGAACTTATTAGGCAACAGTTGTTCTTATTCAAATATTGTAAGATTTATTTTGTAATTTCAACTTATTTTTCATCAATGTTTCATTTTCAATCAAACATAAATTCAGTATATTTAATCCAATTTTTTTATAATATTTCGCTTAACCAAATAATTTTTTTAAACTTTTCTGCCTAATTTATTTTTCATCATATTTTTAGTAATTATATTTTTCTGATAAAAAAATTAAAAAAAAGTTGTTGAATTTGTTTTCCCTTTTGTGGGGAAATAAATTGGGCACTGTAAAAGCGTCTAGAATGACATAAAAGAGCGTAGATGGCACGTCTGTGTTGCCGCTTGTCAACGTCGGCGATTGACTCATTCTAATTATTTTTATTTTGAATTTCAACGTACGACTTTCCAACACTACAATTGAATGAAAAGACAACTACAAAATTTGCAGTTAATTAAACTGTTTTAATATCTCTTATATATATATATATATATATATATATATATATATATATATATGAAATAATTAATTTCATGTTAATTAAGAGAGTATATCTTATGTTATGAGATAAATTTGATGTGGATCCCACTAAAAAATAAAAAAAATAAAAAAATAAAAAAAAGATTCACTTTGAAATTATCTCATTTAACATGAGATTAATTTATATATATATATAGGGTTTGTTTTTTTTAAAATACTTTAGATAAATTTATCTAATATTAATCGAAACGACATCGTTTTGGGACGAAAATCATGATATTTTTGTAATTTTAATTTATTTGAGGGTTATAATAATCTTTATTATTCTAATTTTTTAATTTTTCAACTCTAAAACGACGTCGTTTCGATGAACATTAGACAAAGTTATCTAAAGTAACATTAGATATTTTTTCTCAGATTATATATATATATATATATATATATATATATATATATATATATATATATATATATATGGAAAAACATCTATTCTTTTAAATGATACAAGCTTATGTCACTTTAGATCCTAATCGTTGATTTCCGTCCATCAACGGTTATAATTTTTTGGGTCAAATTTAATTGGCCAAATTTATAACCGTTGATGGACGGAAATCAACAATTAAAATCTAAAAGGATATACGATTATATTCTTTAAAATGACAAATATTATTTATTTCCATATATATATATATATTGGTTAGCATTTTAAGGTAACTTTAAAATTTCATCAAAGTCAAGATGTTGTGTATTTTGTAATTATTAATGTTATTAGATTGTATCTGAAATATGGAGCATGCCTTTTTCTTTGCTAACTGAGTATGGAGCATGCTAATTTACCAAAAAAGTAGAAAAAGTATGGAGCATGCCTTCCTACCTGATACCTAAATGCTATTGACATTTTGAATCCATTTTCTTATGGTAACATCAAAAGGACAGAACATTTTTTTGAAAAAGAAAAGAAATAAATATGCACTTCAATATCTGTAAGAGTTACAAGTTGCAACAAGAAATTTTAAGTTTAAGGGGTTTGAGGCTCTCCAGGACGGGAATGATTTCTCTTCTCCCGTAGACAACAAACCATAATAGGAACTACTATTTTTTTTAAAAATAAAATAAAAAACTAAACAAAAAATAATTCTGTATCTATAGCATAAGAATACACTTCTCGTCGGAAAGGAAAAGTGTTTTCCCCCTAAGTTTAATTGTGTTTTGTTTTTAATACTGTTTCGTAGAATAATTAATGAAATAAATATTTTTTGTATTTTTAAAAAGTTAAAAATTAAAAATAAAAATTAATCAGATATATTTTCTACAATTGATTATAAAATTAAAAAATAATTACAACTTTTAAAAAAAAATTTACAAAATTTTCCTCAACAAACAAAATTTAAATAAGCCCCTTATCATTGATCGTCTCCTCGCAGAAGAAGACGGACAACTTTTAAATAAAAGCACATAAGATTTGACGAAATCAAAATTTGAAATCTTGTCTTGTTTCTAACAGCTATTACACAACATACATTTGGACAAAAAAAAATGATTAACTTTTTCTTTTAACCAAGGTAAGAATGTAAGTAAGATACACTTTATCAATTTTTTTCCATTCAACTTGAAATAACCAGCCAATTATTATTTACAGAAATAAAATAACTAGTGTGATCGTGATTGGGTTTAACTTTTTCCATGATATTTTTTTTGGATTAATTTTTGAACTCAAATTTAACTTGATCATTGCTTAATTAATGACAAGGCTAAACCAATATTCATGTAAAGTATATAAGAATTTAATATTTTTACAATGAAAGTAGATTATATGCTCCTAAAATAATATAATTTTGAGTTAAAAAATTTAAAAATTATAATAAAAAAATTATTAAAATTATAAAGTAAATTATAATTATAAAAATACTTTAATTTTCACATCAAGACGACATAATTAAAAAATCAACTCAATATATAAAGAGAGTTACTAATCTCATGTTGTTTGAGACAATTATCTTATGTGTGTGAGATAAATATATGGAATTCACACTTTAAAAAACAAAAAAAAATTTGACACAAAATTTGATAAATATATAACATGAGAAAATTATCTCCAACGAAATTGAGAAATATTTCTCGTATATAAAATCGATATGCTTAACAACTAATCCATTGTAATTTTTCCAACTATATATATATAGGGTTCATATTTTCTCATGTTGTAGGATTGCATGAGATAAAAAAAGTAGAGAGAAATTAAATGTGGGTCCCACATTTTATATTATAAAAGAAAAAAAAAATTAATTGGCACGAAAAACGAATCTGTGTAGGAAATTTTTTTGCTCTCACGTCACATGAGAGCATGATTTCCCATATATATATTATGATATGATAGCAACGTTGAAAACGGAGTCTCTCCCTCTCTTCTTGTTCAGTCTCTCTCTCTCTTCAAAGCCTCTTAAGCTGACCAAAGACCATTCCTCTGTCTAAATTGCAGCCATTTCCTTGCATAAGAAGATTTAAACTTTCTTATCTGAACATTTAAAAGTCTTTTTCTATTTTTATTTCTTTTATACTTTGTTCTGTGAAGAGTTCTAGATCTTTGCATTCACTGGTTCCATTTCCGAGGCTGGTTTCTTGCTAGCACCATCTCATGGCAGGTCGCTTCGACAGTAACCCCTTCGCTGAAGAAGAAGAAGTCAATCCCTTCTCCGTAAGTCCCTTTCTCTCCTCCCCAACGGTGCTGCTTTCTGAAAGTTGAGTTTTTGTGAACTGGGTATGCACTTTTTTTTGTGAATTCGATCTGGTTCAGTGATGTTTGAGCCTGGAATGATGGATGTATTACTGTTTTGGATTTTGGGTTGGGGATTCTTTTGGTTGATTGTCGGTTGACTTGTTTGAAACTGGTTTGTCGGTTATCTATATGTAATTATGTACATCTGTTAAGGTAGTTCTAGTTTTCTGTTTGATTTTATTTTCCATGTAGGATCTTCTGTTTTCTGCTAAATTTTTTTTGCCTTCCTTTAGGAGTTTGTGTTGAGATACATAGTCCCACATTGATTGGATGAGCAACTAATATGGTCTTTATAAGGCCTTGGGTACTCCCACCCCTTGAGCTAACTTTTGGGTGGTGACCTCAAGGTTCTTGACATGGTATCAGAGCCTCAGCGTCCCCCGCTTTAAAAAGTGGAATTAAAATAAAAATAAAAAACACAAAAAGGTAAACCAAAAATGGGCCTGTGCAATTTCCACGCTTCTAGCCTAAAGGGCTCTTGCGTGAGGGGACGTGTTGAGATATATAGTCCCACATTGATTGGATGGACAACTAATATGGCCTTTATAAGGCCTTGGACACTCCCACCCCTTGAGTTAGCTTTTGGGGTGATGACCTCAAGGTTCTTAACAGTTTCCTTTTGAATTAAGCACAGAATTTCTGGTCACAAGGCTTATGGACTTGCTTGCAATAAACAAATTATTGAACTGTCTGAATGAAAAGTATATGTCAGGTCAAGTAAACTTGAGATGTTGCAGAGCTTGAACAAGGCTTCACTAATGTGTTGGGTTGGTCAGAAGTTGAGTGTTTGATGCTGATGACAGTGCCTTGGATGGAAGAGGAGTCTTGGCAGTTAGCAGTATTTGCGTTAGATAAACCATTCGGTTGATGGAGTTCTACTGCATGCTAAGTTTGATATAAAAATAGCCCATCGGAGTTGTGACCTACCCTAGTAATGCCCAAGTAGTAAATACACAGCAAGTCCAAGGGAAAACCCAAGTGCATAAAGATCTCCAACTTGTGAGGGTGTGAGTGGGGGTCGACTGTACGTAGCTTTATTCTTGCATTCTTTTCAAAAAGGCTATTTTCCGAACTCGAACCTGTGGTCTTTCAGTCACAAGTAGCAATCTTACCGCTGATACAAGGCTTGTCCTCAAATACACAGCAAGTCTGTCATGGAAAATTCTGTTTGGATCCAAGCTAATAGATGTTTAAACAAATATATGGAAGAAGCTGAAAATAATGCATCATCAATGTTGAGGAGGATAACGACATAATTTTGATGGTTTAGGAGAATTGGTCCTTGATATGGTGTTAAATCCTTTATGACCAAGTGGTCAGGAATTTGATTCTGGCTACCCCCATTCTTCATAATTAAATGAAATTTTAGCATAAGGTAAAGTGGGCTTGTCATTGCCCAAACCTTTAAGTCCAAATGGCTCTTAGGTGAAGGATGTTTTACAAACATAAAACCATTCTCAAATCTCCTCCTGATAGCTTATGCTTTTAGGATGAACAATAAAAAAACTTAAACTTTTAGGAAAATTGGCCTTTTAATTTGACATAATATAACAGTTATATACATATTTGAGTTTTCATATATGGGTGTATTTGCTTGGCTGAATGAGATGATATTTTTAAGTGTATTAATTTGTCATGTATTATCAATTTGGGAATTAGAGTTTCTCTCATTGCGGATTTTAGAATTTGGTTGTTTGGGCCTTGGGATATTGTATTCCCAGTTAGAATATTCTTATGTCTACTTGCTTCATAAGTTTGGATTTTTTATTTTTGGTCATGATAAGTGGTAACCTTCAAATTTGGTATGCACTAACAAGATCCAGCTGTATGGGGAAAAACATCTTGCAAGTCAAAAGATAGTGGGGGTGGCTTTTTCACTACATTGAGTTTGTTAATTAAACTCCAGTAAATATTATTTTTGCATGCATGTTGTTGTTGTTGTTTTTTTTTTTTTAATGACTTTGCAAGTGACCTTAGGTGATAGTGCATAAGTGAACAATCTTATTCAACTTTGGTGGAGCTATCTTGTAATGGCAATATCGTTTGCAAAGTAGTAGTACTAGTCATAAAACTTTGGTGATCTTATTCAACTTTTTCACTACATTGAGTTTGTTAATTAAACTCCACTATTATTTTTTTGCTTTTTTCATTCTTAGTGTTCTGAAGAAAACCCTTTAACCATAGTCTGCCGCCTGGGTAAAAAAAAAAAAAAAACCCTATAAATCATTAAGAACTTCTTGCTTACACCTTATGCATCCTAATGTTTTAAAATTTTCAGAATCCTGGAAGATTTGCCCCTGCCACAAATTCAAGGCTTGCACCTCTTAATCCTGAACCCGCTGATTATAATTATGGCTTTGGTGCGACAGTTGATATACCTCTTGATGCATCAACGGTATGTATAATAAAATTGAGCTTGTTAAAATCCCTAATCCAATTTTGTTTCCCCATATATAAATGTATTACAACTTACAAGTATTGATGCAAGAATTGATTGTGGGTTTTCTAATTATATCTGTTTCAACATTAGGATTTGAAAAAGAAGGAAAAGGAACTCCAAGCCAAGGAGGCTGAATTGAAAAGACGGGAAAAGGTATACAATGGGATTTCGTGGCCTCTTTCTGTAACTTTATTGTTGAGAGAATTCCCTTAATTGATATCTACTGTAGTTGGAACACTCTCCAGTGTTATGTACTTATGTTATATTTGGTTTCCTTTCTCTTTTCTCCTCTTCCCCTTATCTTGTCCATGATATAATCTTGATACCCTTGCTTATGAAATTATTTTATCCTGGAAAAACTAATATTGAACGTATAATGTATACTTTATGTCTGAGTTATTATTTATAAATTCCTGGAAAAAATATTTCCAGTGTAGAAACTATTAACTAGACAAGTGGTTAATAGGGAAACAATATATTGACTTGATTAACCCACATCTGATTAGTTGTTCTTAAATTACTGCTATTATTTTGATGGGAATTTTCGAATTGTAATTCTAGCCCCCTCCCTCTCTTTCTTTAATGAATAGTTGAATCTTTGTGATTACTATGTTATTTTTAAAGTTTGGACATTACGAGGGCATCTGAATTTGTTTCGATAAGAAGATATGTTGATCTCTGGAATTATGCATCTTCTTAAATATGTTATCCTCTAGAAATCATGGTGTCTTCTATTCTATGTTTAGAAAGTGTATGTTGGTATTTATTGTCTACTGATTCCTTATTAACTAAACATGCCTGGAAGTTCACCTAAATTTTTATTTCTATTAATTTATCAAATGCAGGATGTCAGACGCAAAGAAGAAGCTGCTGCACGAGGTAATTTACATTTCCTGTTTATTAGTACTTGAAGTTTGTGATTAAGTTTACTTGCTTCCTTGGGTGGATTTTGTTTCTGTCAGCATTCAGATGAATGGTGGAATAACACTACTACTCGAGAAGTCTATAGGTTTTCTATTGCATTTACAAGTCCACCCATTCTACACATGCAAAGTCTTCTCTTAGAAAAGTTTGAACTAATGCTTTTTCCGTGGGCAATAAATATCTTTAATTCTAATTTTATTTTTGAATGTGTAATTAAATTGTTTTACAGCTGGAATTGTTCTTGAGGAGAAGAATTGGCCACCATTTTTCCCAATTATCCATCATGATATTGCTAATGAAATTCCAATTCATCTCCAAAGAATGCAATACGTTGCATTTACTTCTTTATTAGGTACGTTCTCCTATGCTTTGTTTGGGGAGGAGGGGGGGGGGGGGGTGAGGTGTTATTGGTTTGCAACTTTGCATGATCGACTTGTTTTTAACCGAACGATTCTTGAGTTTGTCTCATGGACATTGATTATGTTAAACATCCAAAAGCTTAAGTTGTTAGGTGAAGACATATGATAAAAGTTATCAAATATTGCAACATGTCGCGGCCAACCCCGAAAAACGCTATAGCGGGTTGCGGTTGTGGAAATAGCGGAATAGATATATGACAGAAATAATGACAAAAAGAAATATTTTTTAAAGGCAGAGATAGTATACGTGACAGAGAGAGATGCAGATAGACTAAAAAACCCTTAAAAATTTTCTGTTACACATTTAAATTTAAGACAAAATTGACGTTTTGCCTTATGACAGCAATATGGCCGCGATTTGACCGCAAATGCGATCGCAATGGCCGCTATTGTGTTCTGGTGCGGCGCGGTTTTTGTGGTGAGGAACCGCAACGCTCATACGGCGCGGCTCGCTGCACTATCGCGGCAATTAACTACTATATATGAATGATTTTATATATTATATTTTTAGTATGCCTCCTCATATAAGAGTCCGTTGGGCTTGAACGGTAAATAATGCACAAGGCCACCTATTTGTGTTAAGAAATTTCACAATATTTTTTAAAAGATTAATAGAACAATGGGGGTGGCAAGATCGAACTCTGGATAACCTTGTCACAGAGACTTGAGGCCATGTCAAATAATCAATTTAATCCAAAAGTTCAAGTGAATGCAAACGAATGGTTTTATATAATTATATTTTATAACAGATTATTTCATTCTTCTATTTCTTTCTTGAGTTGATTCTGTCTGAAGGCTTTTCTTTGTATGCTCTCTGTAGATGATTGGTATTGTTCTTGGTATATATATATATATATATATATATATATATATATGTGTATGTGTGTGTGTCAACATTGCTTTTAATTGGCTCAATGGCTAAAACTCTACATCCTATTCTAGTAAATAGCAAAGACCGCCTTTTCTTATTTTTTCCCACCCCCTTAAAATATCTAAATGAAAGGCCAAGAGAAAACTGAAGGCTTTGAAAGAGGTGAAATGGATGAGAATAAGTAGTGAGATATTGATAAACTGGTTTTATCTTAATGATTGAGACCATTAACCTGTGTGTGTGTGTGTGTGTGTGTGTTGCAACATTGCTTTTAATTGGCTCAATGGCTAAAACTCTACATCCTATTCTAGTAAATAGCAAAGACCACCTTTTCTTATTTTTTCCCACCCCCTTAAAATATCTAAATGAAAGGCCAAGAGAAAACTGAAGGCTTTGAAAGAGGTGAAATGGATGAGAATAAGTAGTGAGATATTGATAAACTGGTTTTATCTTAATGATTGAGACCATTAACCTGTCTGGCTGGTACTAACCTGTTTTATTGAGTAAGTCAATGTCACGATGAAGGCATTCTCTATTTAATTCTTCTTAGTTTGGTGGAAATATGTTCTGATTTGATTATGGTTATAATATAGAATGTATATTAATATATATTCTGCAAGTCATGTTATTGTATAACAAAAAATTATGTAATAATGGGATATGGTCCACTGCTAATGATGAAAATGATATGATGCAGGATTAGCATTGTGCCTTACATGGAATATTTTAGCTGTCACTGCAGCTTGGATTAAGGGAGAAGGTCAGTTTAGATATTGAGCAAGAATCTTTCTGGGTTATTGAGTTGCTCGAAATACAAATCTGATGTCTCGTGGATCTTGCCTTGTTTATTGTAGGTGTAAAAATATGGTTTCTTTCTATTATCTACTTCATAGCAGGGGTTCCTGGAGCATATGTCCTGTGGTATCGTCCATTATACAACGCTTGTAGGTAATTATTTCCAATACCTAAACGCATTTGGCCGTTTGCTTTTTTCCAATAAATTGGACTCCAGCTTTTCTGTATGCTATATTTGGAATTGGAGGGGGTTTCTGCTGATGGGAATCCAATGAAACTGGATAGCTTTAGCTTTCTCATATCTATATTACATTATTCCCTTTTTGTTTCAGGATGATATCTAGCCTTCCTCTTCATAGCCATTTTGTTTTCTTTCCATCTATTTTTTAATGACTTTTGAAAATAGAAGTTCATTGTCTGTTAATAGTGTTTTTAGTCTTCCATTTATTTTTTTGGCTTCTCTCAAAGCTATTTTTGTGTTGTTCTTCAAAATATGGTACTATTGCATTTGTTGGTATCAACTATCAAGAGACCTTGATGAGACGTGCAGTCCTGACAAATAATACTCATGGAAGGAAGCATTCATGAGAACAATTAGCTAATATGCATGCATATTTTGCCTCTAGGTCCACAGCCTAGTGGGTCACCCCGTTGGGTGTTCCCCTTCCTTCTGGTTCCATCCCTCCCAATTCAGCAAAAAATTGCATGCTATTTTGAGTTTTCTGATTTGGTTATGATCTTGATTTTGAATTGGTTCCATTGTTATTTTTGCAGGACTGATAGTGCTTTTAAGTTTGGATGGTTTTTCCTGTTTTACCTGGTAAAGTGGCTATTTGCTTTTATGCATGTAAGCTTTGCTTCACTTGGACAAATTTTAATTATCCTCTTTCTCTTTCTGCTTACAGCTTCATCTAGGATTCTGTATCTTAGCTGCAGTTGCTCCTCCTATAGTTTTCAAAGGAAAATCCCTGACGTAAGTTGACTTCATATATATACACTTCTTTTGATATGATAATATTTCTTATTCCTTACTGCTTATATATGCCTTTACTTTTGTAACGTGGAGATTGAGAATTTTAAATGGCCCTTCGGAGGACGTGGTTTTTAACAGAACACAGTGGTGTTGCTTGATCCTTGTAGCCAACCCCACACAGTTGGAATAGGCTTTTGTTATTGATGTTTGCTAAAATAGAAATGAAAGAAGTATCCATGAAAAGAATTATAGAATTTGACATGACTTAAACCTAGGACTTGCACATAATTACTCTGCACCTAAATCACCCGAGCTGAAGTCTAAGTGGTCCTAGAATGATTAAGAATGTTAAACTGGTAGGCATGTTGGTGTTCTATATTTTCAAGAGGCTGGTGTTATTTCCATTTTTGTTGCCTAATGCTCTGTGCTGTCTACTCATTGATGCAGAGGCATTCTGTCCGCCATAGATGTGATTGGTGACACTACTATAGTTGGAGTAAGTATGGCTATTTGTTATTCCTGCATGCTGTTTAATTGTCATTTGTCAATATCATACATAACCAATTTGCTTCAGTCATTTTACACATGCTGAGTCAATTTAAGATTTGTCACACGAGGCATGTTACAATTTTAAAGCAAATGCTACAAAACCTAACCAATGAGAATTTTCTTGTTCTGAAATACTGATATTTTATTTTGCTTTTGTCCATTTGCTTGTAGATTTTCTACTTCATTGGATTCGGTTTATTCTGCATTGAAACATTGATCAGCGTCTGGGTTATTCAGGTTTGATTATACTTATTTTTAAAGTGGATGCACTTAGCACTTTGAACGCACATAACCAAAGCACTTATTGACTTTTTCTTTTGTTGCATACAGCAAGTATATATGTACTTCCGTGGCAGTGGTAAGGCTGCTGAGATGCAACGGGAAGCTGCAAGAGGAGCATTGAGGGCTGCAATATGATCTATCACCTTATGAAGGCAGTATGGATTGGATGCCTTGTGTTTGGATTGATGGTGTAAATTACTAGCCACAGAAATTGAGGATAAATTTTTTTAATGAGGTGATTCTTGTTTTTAACTGTTTCTCTTTTGTTTAACGTGCTACCTGTTCATGTGGTTTGTTAGTGTATATTATAAGCAGAAAGCTTAGACATACAGTGAGTGGCTGGTAGAAAGTGATACAATTTATTGAGTTGATCCTCTATATATATAGTTTTGGTTCACTGTCTTCTCATTCCAAAAGCTAGTTTTGTCTGTCTGTCAATCCTCTCTCTCTCTCTCTCTCTTTGGACGAGGAGCTAGTTCCATCACTCTTTTTTTGACTAGCAAGGTTCTGATGCTTATTTATTTGTTTTCATGAAGGAAAATTAGGGTGATGCAATTGCCTCCGACTTTTTTAACCCACAAACGGTAATCTAAAATGGATACTTGCACGAATTATGAGGCATATGTGTAATTTGAACCATTCAGAAATAATTATAAATTTATAACAGGATCAAAGTGGGTATATAATGACTTGCATAATAAGAGTATACAAAGCTTATATGTGCGTGAGTATCGTTACTCTTGATCTCGAGGAACTAGACACAAAGAAAAGTCATTGTTTGATTTTTGGTTTGAAAAGCTTGAGAAGTGAAGGCTGAAGCTAAAAGCAGTATGAAAGCTAGCAATTACAGCTTTGTTTCAAGAGATAAAAGTTTGTCTTTATTGATTGGTATCCATTTGTGTTAGAGAATAATATAAATCATTAAAAAGACTCTTATCCAACACCTTAAGGTTGTAGGTTGAAGTGGTTCTTTACATGGTATCAGAGCATCGTGTCCCGGGTTCAAACCTCGCCGCCTTCCACTTTATCTTGTGGAATTTCTTAGCACAGAGCCTGTTGCATCATCCACTATTCAAGCTCAATGGGCTCTCGTGTGAGGGGATGTGTTGAGATATATAGTTCCACATTGGTTGTATGAGCAACTAATGTGGCCTTAGACATTCTCACCCCTTGAGCTAGCGTATCCTAAAATTCTTTACAATTTGTCATTTGTCACATTGGTGCGCTGCTGGGGCTATTAATTGTGGATGCCTTTTACTTCTTTAGTAGAATTTTTTAAGTGTACTTGTATGACTCGGGTCGGCTCAGTTGGTTCAATGGAAAAACTCATGACGTCGCCATTGAGCTAGCTAGTTTGGTTGACTTGTTCAAAATTTACTCAGATCTTATAAACTTTTTTTTGCCAAAATGTATTTTTTGCTTTGTATAATGTGCTTTCTTTCTTTCTTTCTTTTTCCCTCGTATGTATTGGCCGGTAAACTGTTTTAATCTTGTATTGGCCAGTAAACTGTTTCTTTCTTTCTTACTAAAATGTATTTTTAGTAGCTCTCTTGAATTTAGTTGTAATGTTAAACTATGTAGCCCATAAATATTACACGATTAAATAAAGTAATTTTTATATAATAACTTTTTAAAAAAATAATCTGAATTTTCCAATTCGACTTCTAAGTTCTAACCCGACCCAATGGACTGAATCGGAAATCCAGGTTCTAGAACTACCCCAAAAAGAATCCAATGTATCATACGGCGCCAACCCCCTATTGTCATTTTTTAAACAAAATAATAACAAAACTCACAAACTCTGCTTGTGACTGAAAGAAGGTAGAACAATTATTTCAAGGTTAGGACCTATTATTTCGAGGTTCAAGGGTAGAACAATTGTCATAACGAAACGTATTGCACGACTTGGAGTTGAAAGATGGTGGCTTGATTTTCTTAAATGGTGGATAAAGACTTTTTTTTTTTATTACACGGATAAAGACTTTTTAACTCACGAATTAATCACAAATTCATCAAAAAATTGCTAGCTTGCGATGTAGGTTGCATACAGGTTCCCCTTCCGGACCAAAGGTTAGTTTAAAGTCGGGTTCAAGTACTATAATTCAAGTATTCAACTTGTCTTTAATCAAATATCGGGATAATTCTTGGAAAATTTTTGGAGGTCGAGGACGTGTCTTTGTCCTCGAATGAGGATTAGTCTCATCTTTCTTTCTATAACGAAATTCAATGCACCCGTTATTTCAATGAGGGATAGCTTTCGGGTCGTACTCCGAGGATAAAGTGATCAGAAAAAGTTGAATGAGAATACCCTCCAAGTTATACAAAAAATAAAATAAAAAATTATCGGGCTAATTTGAGCTTCACTCGGTTCTAATACCATTGTTATAAGAGTTAGAGGGAACTTATGGCGGGAATCACTACTAATAGATCAAACTGCTCCAATCATAAACCTTATAAACATTGGATTGGTTAGAATGATATATAAACAGAGACATTGGCGAAGCAAGCCTCCCAACCTAGGTAGGGCCAAAAAAAATTTAGCTAATGTTAAATACTAAAATATGAAAAATTATTTTATCACAGTTAATTAGCCACGTTTAAAACGTGACTAATTATAGAATTTCAGCTATGGCCAAAGCTCCACTCACAGTGTACTTGGCTCCGCCACTGAACATAGACTCAATAAAATATGTTGGATATACACACAAAATGAACTTTTAAATCTTTTTTATTTTATATTTATAATTGTGATATGAGTCCAAAAAAATAAATAAATGTATGTGTACGGTCAACTTTTCATGTAATTAATAACTAGTGATTAAAAAAAAAAATATACTAATGAGAAAAGAAATGAAATGCATCATTTAAAACGATTCACGCATCTGGTTGTAGTAGATTCGGACTCATTATTCATTTATGGGGGAAAAAAATCCTTTTCCCTTTCTCCTTTTGGATAATGGATTCCGATTTATTAAAAGTATATGGAGAAAAAATATCAATTTTACACGTGGCTTTCGTTATATTTTATAAATTAACCTCATTATTTAAAGAAAAAAATATTAAATACTTCTTAAATTTTCAGTTGAAGGCTTCCATTAAACCTTAGTAAAACGTCTTACATCATATCACATCTTCGACCTAAACTTGGTCTCTGATCACATCCAGCAGTACCAATTTCCAATGGAAACTGCATTTCCACTAAAGGCTACACACCCGTTAATGCATTGAAAGGGAAATGACAAGAGTTAACATAAACTATATTTATATATATAATAGTAAGTAAAAATACAGTCCATAATAATCCTCTCAGCCATCGAGCACTGTCCCATAATTTTTTTTTGCAATACCTATAGATATATAGATATATAGATATAATAACTAAGGCATAATCAAAAGCACATCCCAAAGAAAACCCAAGTATATAGAGAGATATATCTACTTTATGCTTATTTATCTAAAAGGGTGATCCACATGACCATAAGTTGCATACATAATACTAGCACTAGTGATAACAACTGTTACCATTACTGTGCTTCCCTCAACAATAAGCTATGCACTTCTTTTTGCAATCAATGGTGCAGCCACCGCCGCCGCCGCCGCCACCGTAGCCCTTGCCGGAACGGCTGAAAGAGGAGAAGCACTTGGCTGGACATGTTACCTTTTTCCCATAACAAGGGCCTTTGTCTTTGCACACAACAGTTGGTTTTATTACACCACCTTTTGAGTACCCTCCATTTGGACCTCCATACCCGGATCCATATCCTCCTCCTCCTCCTACTATACCATTTCCAAACCCGTTTCCGTTTCCAAATCCGGGTACGCTGAACCCTCCTCCGGGAGCAAAGAAGTCACCTGGATTACCACCATAGTTATTGCCTCCACCTTTGTTGTTCTTGTCACTGTCCTTGGGGTGCTTGAGTTGATCAGGAGCAGAAGATCCGGTTGATTTGGGTCGGGTAGCCACAGAGGCTGAGGTTATGAGGAGTAGAGCAAGCAAGAGAAAAGTGGTCGTAGGTTTCATTTTTGGTGTTTTGTGTTGAAATCAGGAATTGCGAAGGGAAGTGGAGTTTGTGGGAAATGTTATGATGATGAGAGTTGATAAGTGTGAGAGAGTAGGGGGATGAATATTTAAATGTGTTAATGGAATGAATTGATTAAGCATTTATTGGGAGGGTGTGGAGGACAGATGGGACGATTTATGATCTTGTAGTAGGTTGGCTACATTTATTGGACTCGATTTCCTCTCATATTATTTTGTTTTTTGAAAAATTATTTGTGCTTTTGAAAAAATATAAGTTGTGTCATTTTAATTTTTTTATTTTATGTATTTCTGGTAATACGTAATTATAACATGAAAAGTTACTTTTTTTCTCTCTCCCTCAGTTACATCAGCTGACGTGAAAAGTGAAAAAAATAACTTTTCATGTTATAACTATGTACTACAAAAAATACATAGAGTAAAAAATTAAAAAGACGCAACTTACGTCCTTCGAAAAGAAACACACTAAATCCTTTTTTTTATTCTATAATTTTAATTATTCTTTCTTAGGAATTCTAAGACCTTGATAAAACAAAAACCTCGGATAAATATGACATTAATTCCGAATTGTGGCAAATATTCAATTCTAACCTAAAAATTGTGTCCAAGATTTGAATATATGCTCTTTTAACAATTCATGTGTATCTATACTCATATTGTCACTTGAGCCGAGGGAGCCTAACCAACCATGTGAAATTTAATGAATCATTTCCATGCATCAAATATCTTGTGGTAAAGTGAAATTGCAAAATATGAGTTTTTAAAAAAAATAATAAAAATGAAAGATGGCTTGATTTTTCGAAGTTAACTATTTTGGGAACTACATAATAAAGTTCAATTTTCATTGCCCTTATATTGAAAGTAATGTTTTTGCCAATGATCCGTTTAAAGAAGTCTGTTCTGTTCATCTATTTCTTCAGTTTAAATGTCACATGTCATTTTTTTTTTTTTTTAATTTTGTTAGGGAAGTATGTATCAGTATCACTGCAGTATTAAAAATTACTCTTTCTGTTCAATGGTTTATATAATTAAGAAGGTAATTTGTAGCAAAACTTTGGACAAGGGAAATCAAGTGTTTCTTCACCACAAAAGCATGCGATATACACAACAATTTTGCAAAAGCTATTGTTTTTTAATTTATTTATTTATGTTTGATCTTTTCTGCATCCGTTTACCTTCTTTGAAGGCGATCATATCTCAGAACTATTTTAAGCTTTTGACATTATCATATATAAGTGGTCCATTTAAAAGGTTTGCATGACACTTGGAGACTATGATAGGCATCTGAACGGACATATATGGACAATACAGGAGAGAATGGAAGGTAGAAGGTACCCATTATATATTGTTTCTTCCTATATATAACCACTCTTTTAACATTGTAATACAGAGATTTCTTTCACTACCCCATCAAAGGTGGAGTTCACAACCCCCAATCCAAACTGGAATTGGAAGTACCCAGAGACACCCCACCCATACATATATTTACTGACAAAAGATAAATAAATAATAATAATAGAAGTTTAGACAAACCACAATACTCCACATTTGTGCTGCTTTCCATAAAGCACTTTGCCTGAAATTATTAAAATTCCAAATCATTCATAATAAGGTTCATGAAGTTTGCAGCTGTACATCAAATTTTGTTGAGATATATAGTCCCACATTGATTGGATGGACAACTAATATAGCTTTTATAAGGCTTTGGGCACTCTCACCCCTTGAGCTAGCTTTTGGGGTGGTGTATCCCAAGGTTCTTAACATGGTATCAACCAAAAATGGGCCTGTGCAATTTCCACCCTTCTTGCTTAAAGGGCTCTTGCGTGAGGGGGCGTGTTGAGATATATAGTCCCACATTGATTGAATGAGCAACTAATATAGCCTTTATAAGGCCTTGGACACTCCACCCCTTGAGCTAGCTTTTAGGGAGGTGTATCTCAAGGTTCTTAACAAATTTGTCAACCTTGGAGGGCCAATATAAAAATAAAAGCAATACGAAAGTTTTATATGTGTGGGTTCTATGGAAGAGTTAATTCTTGAATGTTATTTCTCATCTATTAATCTCTTTCACATCAATAAAAATTTTGGTACAAAAGTTTGATCTCTTGGCCTTAATATAAAAACTTAAAAGTAACACACACAGAAAATATCATCTAGCTAGGGAGAATTTTTCGTATTTGGTCTTCTATTGAACACATGATGGTTTAAAAAAGAAAAAAGAAAAAAAAATCATTTTCTCTTAGCTAGCTAGCCACCTGTAAATGACATAAACCGACAAACGAACTTGGTAGAGGAGTTAGTGTCATGCAATAAATGAACCCAACATCTAATCCGCAAATGTAATATAAGGTCTTTTGGGGGTTTAGGTCACTTGGTTATGAGCCATGCCAACCTAAGCTTGCTCTTCCCCGTTTCTTTTGCTTAGAAGATATATATATATATATATATATATATATATTTATTTATTTATTTATTTATTTTATTTTTTTGGAGAATAGAAGATATATATTTCTCACTTGTGCCAGGTGACACAATTGACATTGATTTGAAGACTGGAAGATGTTTGTTTCAGACTTTTCCGTGTACAGACCCTCGCATGGGTATTGTGCAATATTGATGATCATATATGAACAAAAGTGGGAGAGAATACCGTAAAAACAAACTGTGTTGATTGAATTTTGAGTGTAACGCTCCTCACACTTTATCTTACTTTCTATTACATAATTTTTATTATTTTATAACAGCTTATTTTCTTGAAATTTTTATATATTAATTTTGATCAAGCAATATAAATGATCCAATCCGATAATAGCTCAAAGGTCCAAAGACATAGACTTAGTCGATAAGAAAATACATATATGATGCGTACAGGCAAGTCCGGATATTCATAACTTAGCTTACAATAGCGCATGACTTATAAACCTATTTAATAGCCAATGACTAAAGGACATATGTGAGCTTTCAACAAAGTCTAAACAATATAGCTCACTAAGAGATATCCAATAAACGAGATAGATTGACAAAGCTACAATAATCTATCAATCAGAAACATGCTACCATCCTAAGACGACATAACAAGGCAACAAACAGGTTATGTCACTATTATAAAAGAGAAACTCAAAGTTCATGCATGATCATTTTCTTCCAATTTACTTATGGGCATCATTCAAATAATCAGAGACTTGAGTGTCGAAGTACCTTGCAGGTATCCCACACTTCTCCGAGATCAAACACACTCCAACAATATCAGAATGATCAATTTCTAGATATCATCTCGTAGAGTAAGTAACTGATCCTGTTACAATCAATCATCCGGCTCATTAACTTGGATCAGGTTCATCTGTGTATGATTAGACCTAATTTCTCTTTATTGATGAGGTCAACATCTTGACAAGGTCAGATATATGTCAGAGTCAAATCGAATAATGACACTTGAACTAGTAAGGGTAAATAGAAAAAATTACATCTCAACGGTCATAATTTTTGACTCAGTGTAAATATAATTTGATATAATTTATTTTTTAATGAAAATAAATAATTACTCTTATTTTAATTAAGAAAAATATATTTCTTATGTTATTGTAATTTTTTTTTTGTACTAATCGATTATAATTATGTATTTTTGAAAATACATAATTATAATCGAAAAACTGTTTTTTTTTTCCTCTCACACAAGTAAATAACTTTGAAATGAGAAAAAATAATTTTAAGATCATAACTATATATTTTTCAAAAATGTATAATTATAATCGGTTGCTACGACGTAAAAAAGAAAAAAGAAAAAAAGTACCCTTTAATTAATGTTCAGCTTACCGAAACAAACCGTTTGAAAATAGTAACAACCCGATTTGAAATCTCACTAATTGCATCTATAGGACGCAGTACGCACTCCGCACCAGTCTTGAAAAGTAAGGGTATTAATGACTTCAATTTAATGAATCTTGAGAAAGCAATTTGCTTTCAACGTCGTGGACAGATTGATTTTCCACTTTTAAATTCCTTTCGTTTTCTAAGTATGCAATAAATCTCAGAGAGGAGAGAACGGCTAAAAAGAAAATTCCTAAAAAATATAGTAATATGTTCAATCTATATATTATTGTAGAGAAAATTATCAATATCATTATTTTATTATGTAAATCAAAGATAAGTCTAATCATGAATAAAAAATTTATGATTTTTTTTTTACAAAATTTACATTTGTAGCATTGTTCTATTTCAAATAAATATTTATATGTTTTTAATGAAATTAAATAATATGTAATAAACAGCTTATATATTGAATAAATTACACAGTTATATACACAAACACAATCGGAGTTAAGAATAATCTTAAGTCATTACCAAACAGAAAAAAAAGAATAGTCTTTAAAAAAAAACAGAAGAAGAAAAATAAAAGCGATATCTAACTTCTAAGTTCTAATATGATAGCTAAATATTTAAAATTATATTATTTTCAGCAAAAAATAAAAATAAAAACCTATTGTTAACCAGTGTTTAAATAGCTGAAAATACGAAAATTCTAACCGATGTAGTAGATATTTTTGACAGAAGGAAAAAGCGTATGGTACAATCTGCTTTTAATAATATTTTTTCAACTAAAAATGCAAGTCAATAAATATAAGTTAACATAATTGAATTACATAAACTACTCCAACAAGGCACTATTTTAAGCAAATGCTTACCCAAAAAGAAAAAAAAAAAGGACACTTCCTTCTCTTTTTGCTTTGATCTGCCCCCTACAACAAGGCACATAAGAATGCATTTTGAAGGGCATGACTATGCAGATTTCAACAAGTCAAAAGAGGTAGTCGAGTGAGCTTAACCCTTTCCCCACTTTCATTCTCGTCCCAGAAGAACATGGCTATGCATTCTTGAGAGTTGAAACTATGATCACTCTTGGTCAATCCTCCAACAGACATCGAATTATGGGATGGGATTGGATGCATGTACTTTTTTCATAAATATAAATGTTGTTATCTTTTCTCCAAATTAAATTGAGAAATCATACGACTTAATATTGGCAATTGAACATGCAGCAGACTAGCTTTACTGAGTTTCAACTTTCAATCATAACTTTGTGTTTTTATTTTCTCTATTATTGAGTAGGGACATTGCAACAATGCAAAAGAAAGAGCTCTCTAACTTAATACGATCAATTTTGGATATAAAATTTTATTTTACAAATCAATCAAATTGGAGGCAAACTTTTCCAGAACTGCACTTCAAGTTTGCACTTGAATTAGAAGGTTTGTCTTAACTCATGACCATATTTTCTAGTGTGGCATCCCTCAATTAATAGATTTCCGTCTTCTGATTATTCTGTTTATTATAATTAGGGGATGTATAATGTGCCCTTTTCAAGGTGGGCAAATTGACATAATCTAACAACTTCAATCCAAAGTTTTGGATTTGAATCCTCTAATGTGAAAAAGTGATCATATTATTTGATCGTAATTATTCATTGATGATAAAATAAGAGAGAGAAAAATATATGATTTTTAAATGAATGATTGTGATCAAATAACATGACTTCGTGACCACTTTTTCATATAAAAGAATCCAAATTCCAAAGTTTTTGAGTTGGATTATTGCTAGTGATTTCTATGTTGAAAAAACTAATGAATGTATTCATTAGAAGTTAAAATATTAAATTTTCCTAGAAAATCACAAATATAAGCAAAAAGGGTTTCTTTCAGGAACACGGTGCTTGTCTGATCCCTACTTAGTGCTTAGCAGCATGATGGGAGTTGGGAACCAAACACAAGTCACAAGTCACAACTCACAAGGTAGTGGTGAACTTGATGACTGTGTGGAGCCCATAATCAATATGGCCTGGCCGACCACAGATTCTATTTATGACTTTCAAGTTTCCAAACATGCACCCATCAAAGTGTATTTTACTAATTAAGATAATGCTACTTATTACCGAGTAAAGGACAGATTTTTTCTCAGTTAACCTCAAACCAAGTCAAAATTGTGGTACCAAAATCAACAGACTATTGAATGCAATAGATGAAGTTTCTGACTTTTGAAACCAGCTTGTGCAGAAGAAAACTACTAGTCAAAAACTGGGTTGCACTTGCAGCCTCATTAATTAGATCATTACTCATCTTACAAACATCTCAATGTGACTAGTACCTGTTTGCTCTGCAGCCCATCTGTCTCCACTGCCTATATATTACTACAATACTAGTCGGTGTATATTAATCGCTAGTACTTTATTTCACATTTATACAAAGTGATATAGTATAATATTAGTGTATGTATATGTAAAAAATAAAATAAGATTTAGATGCTAAAAATTATTTAAATATAAGCATATAGCATTATCGGTTAACTGCTCAGATAGGGTTGTCAAACTGGCAGTTCCAAATACATGCATTCAAAATGAATCGGACCTCAAAGTAGGTCCATTTTAATATGTTCACGTGAACTTGCATGGTGACTAACTGATATACACCGTGAAAATAAGAACTGGATGGTACACAAGTTGAACAATTAGACGGAGTTGAAATAGTACCAGATCCATGAAACCCTCTCCAGGAAGAGTCATTCTCACTAAATGGCATTTAGTATGATAAGAAGTTATGACAAGTTGGTAGTATTATTCTAATGCCAAACAATGATAATTGCAGGCTAACAAGCTGGTAACTGAAGGTGAAGCAGGGGGATTTCTAAGATATTATGTAAAACAGAAAAATAAAAGATGAAATATTATTCACATTATTTGATGTGTATACATTTACGTCAATAGAAACAGCCTCAAAGGCTAGAAGAGCCCCAGCTGGCATCAACGGCATCGATGATTTTTCCATGTAGTGTGGCTCCAGCACAAGCAACTATACCACGATCAAGGCCTTCTAAATATAAGCCTTTTGAGAAGTCTAGGGGACGTCCTCCAGCATCTGTTACCACCCCACCAGCTTCCTGTATGATGATAACGCCTGCAGCATGATCCCAGATTTTCTCCTTGTAACCAGCCCTCGCAAACTTCATGAAAACCTCAGCATCCCCACGAGCTATGGTTGCATATTTCACCATGCTGTATACTCTTAGTGGTTGTTTCCTGCACACATAATGAAAAAGAACTATCTTATAAAGCTAGAACTACTTGTAGATTTATGTTGACTTGGTGCCTTATTCCAAAAGATATTTTCAAATTTTCTTAAAGAGATAAATGGGAATGCAATCAGTTCTCAAGTAAGGAATATAATGTAACTACACTTCATAATTTCTGCTTTCCATCTTATTCTGAAAACGTCTTCATCTCAAGAGTACTAAATTAACCGGATGATTGGACATTGCTCAAGAATTTTAAATTTGAATATGCATCTAGTAATAATTTAATGACGATTCTAAAAAAGAACAAAAGAAGATAGGAATAATTCCCATGCTACTATGTCTATACGTTGACAGTCACACAAGTAAAAAGCAAGAGGGATAAAAAAGGAGAGGCAGAGGGTAAATGATATTGAAATGGAATGAGAAAAATAAATGCACCTGAGACCAACACTGTGAGCCAGTCCTGCAGTAAAAGAATGGCTTGAATTGGCCTTCTCAACTGGTTCACAAAAAGTGGCCAATGCTGGATTGTCAATGGAAGAGACAGAAACTTGTTTTGCATGGTTTGGCCACACAAACTGCTTATTGACATGGAGCAGTGGTTGCATCCAAGCCTTACCACTGCCCCTTCTAGCATATAGCACACAACCTTTATTCCAAGTTTCAGAAGTTGAAGGAGTCAACTTGGATATAATCCTATGATAGCGGTGATGATAACTCAACCATTCCTTCCTCATTGGGTAGTTAGGACACCCAAGAACACCAAGCACCACTTCTCCATCCTCTATGAGTGCTAGAGCTACAGCATATTGATCTCCACGTACAAACCCCAATGTGCCATCAACAGGATCCAGTACCCAAAATCTTCCAGTGGGACCCCCATTTGAGTTACAGCGACTAATCATTTCAAGAACTTCGGATGTCCCAAGGGCAGATTGTGGCTTCTGAACTCCAAATCGAGGTGCTTCGGCTAGACATTCATTCACAGTTTCAACCACAGCTTCTAACAGTCCAGATGCATTATCCTTGGAGAGAGTTTGAACATCTTCTTCAGCTACAATTGAAATATTTTCACTCCCTAAACACTCGGACAATATCCAGCTGACAATTGCTTGAACACTCCAATCTATTCAAATAGCATAATGAAGGTTACCGTTTAAACATGATAGTAAGAATAAATGTAAACTCTTTAGCTTCAAGGAATAGACTGATCAATCAAACCGAAAAAGTTTTATTTGCAAAACTCAGACAAATAAGCTTCAACAATTATACGTTCAAAGTTGTATAGAAATATAATGAACACAGCATAAATATGATCCTAGCTCTATACTTAAGTCATGTAACCTACGATTATATATACATTGGAACTTTACAAAGAGAAAGAGAATACGGCATGTAATAAAATTTATTATGAAGATCATGATTAATTAATATATTTCCATAATTCAATTCAACGCTAATATAAACATCTAAAATTTGATATGTAAAATGAACATTGGGAAAGACCAATCCAATAAATTGAAAAATAACATCATTTTTTTCCAATAGATAACAATATCATCAATCTTTTGGAAAACTTCTATTCTTTCTAAACCAGAAATACAATTTCCAAAGTTGTAAATACAGCTACACATGAAAAGCAACCAAGCAAGATGTTTACTAGTACAAGGACCTACAGCCTCTCTTTGGTGGCGCAGTATATAGTTTTTCCAAGAATCTTTTTGATGGACATCCAAAGAAATTACAGAGCACTTCTCTGTTAAAAATTTAAAAACATTATTTCCCTCCTCCGATGTCATTCTTTTGCATATTATTTTAAGGGTTTTATGTTTATCATTTAACATAATATAACTTTACTTTCCTACACACACATTAAAGAGGTGGGGTCCACATGTTTTTCTTTCTTTTTCATCATTTCACTTTCTCTCTCCCTTTTGATGTGAGAGTTGGAAACAACACTTACATTATGTTACATAACACTAATAAAACCCTTATTTTAAATAGAATATTTATTTTCCTCTTCCTTTGTAATCATTCTTATGTTCTAATAGAATTTCTTATATTGTCAACAAAAAGGAAAAAGAGTAAGTTTTAGAAATCGCTTTCCATTTTTCCTTGGAGGGCAGGGGAGCAGTGAGTAAAATAAGAAAAGACATATATCCATGAATCTGAATTGATGCAACCGAAATTGAGGTAAAATAATATTTCCAAGTATCAGGGCTAAACATTTCAGTTCAGTCAAAAGTAGTTTGCTTGTGGAACAAGATAAGGCCCGTAAAGAACCAATTCAACCCAAAATCTTAAGGTGTTGGGTGAGGGTCTTTTTAATGGTTTATATTATTCTCTAACACACCCCTCATGCAACAGCCCTTTGGGCTTGAAGCGTGGATATTGCACAGGCCCAATTTTTTGGTTTACCTTGTGCTTATTTAATTCCATTAGAAAGTGGGGAGGTGAGGATCGAACTCATGACCTTGTGGACACTGAAGCTCTGATACCATGTAAAGAACCAATTCAACCCAAAAGTTTAAGCTGTTTGGTGAGGCTTGGTTTTATATATGTTTAATACACCCCCTCACATGAGAGTCCACTAGGCTTAAAGGGTAGACAATGCCCAGGCCTACCTACCTGTGCTAAGAAATTCCATAAGAGAAAGTGGGGGCGGTGAGGATCGAACCCGTGATACCAAGGCTCTAATATCATATAAAGAACCAATTCAACCCAAAAGCTTAAGTTGTTAAGTGAAAGTCCATCAATGGTTTATATACTTCTCTAACACGGCCCCTCACACAAGAGCCCACTGCGCATGAAGGGTAGATAATGCACAGGCCCACCTAATTGTGCTAAGAAATTTCACAAGAGAAAGTGAGGCAGTGAGAATCGAACACGTGACACCAAGGCTCTAATCATGTAAATAACCAATTCAACCCAAAAACTTAAGGTGTTGGGTGAAGACCTTTTTAATAGTTTATATTATTTTCTAACAACTGAAGTCACTGTTTATATATAGCAAAATATAACCAAAAGTGAATCATATTCCTTACTTCAATGGAAGCTACATCCTATATGGGGGAATTGTGATTGTAAGGGGAAATAGAGCTATAGGTGTATATCTCTTGGAAAAGATAAAAATTTAATGGCAGATCAACCAGCTGAGGAGGCCAATATATGGACTCCACAAAATTCTCTTATTCCACGCCCCTTGTCTCCTTATTGCAAACCACAGCACAAAATAAAGATTAATACTACGGTTTTATCCAGTCCTACACTCGTTTTGCAGCAGTAATGTATAGTACTGTATTACAATAGAGTCCCCAGGAAAAGTGTTTGAAGGGCAGCTTGTTTCACCAACCGTATTATTTCCCTTTATCAGAAACGTGAACTTTTGAAAATCCATGAATCCTCCAAATTTAACAGTCACTTTCCACACCAATGATTTTGTCATTGACTTAAAACCAATTTAGAAAGTAAGTATTGATTTGATTATGGCCTTGGGTGTCAAACAAGGTTTGCAATCCTCTATTCTTTGCTTTTAAGAGCCAATGAAAAAGCCACCTGTCATAATTTGACTGGATATGAATGCAACAAGGGTCAAAAGTTTTTTTTTTTTTTTTTTAAGGAATTTTAGTTATTTAATATACTTCAACTATCTGTCAAACACATTTGACTGGAGTTTTGAATCTTTGCTAAGGTCCCTGCATTTACATGCCATAGTAACCTCCGCTATTCCGAAGTTGTTGCTATAAGATAACATAATATCCAATGCACAAAGCCAATGAAACCCATGAGGCAAATTGGGTTAAACCCATTTGCTTGGAAAAGAACCATAAAATAGCCCCAACCAACAATGATTTCAAGGAACAAGAACAAAAAAATTATCAGAACCCAGTTGAAGAAACACTCACCTGCAACTGTAACCGGAGAATTATCATCCTTGGAGTGGACCTGATGATTGGTCCTAGTGTTGGAAATCAAAGTGTCCTGAACTCTCTGGCAGAGAGAGCATGCCATCTGAACCGCTCTGACAGCAACATCCAATTCCTTGGAATAGTCCTCTGGTTGAGAAAAAAGACCCAACTTTTTCTGGTCGTACTCCATCACAGGAGAAGAACAAGTTTGGTCGAATTTTGATACAAAACCAATGTGCCTTGTGGGTGCTTTATAGTGGAGTGAGGTGAAGCAAGAACCTCGTGCAGGTGGTTCTACAACATGGGTGGGTGTGAAGAAGGCATCATCGTATCTCCTCCCATGTCCTAAGATACGTGGGATTTTTGTACCCAAACTTGAACAATATAAAGACATGTCAATTATACAACTCTCTCACACACACACTGAGTCAATTATAAAGATATGTGGTCAGTGTTTATCAATATTCAATAGTGAATATTTGACATCGAAAGGGAGAGAGAAGCAAAAACAAAATGATGATAACGAATGACCAACCTATTGGTGATGACTTAGGGAGAGTTCAGTGTTCAGTGTTCACAATCTCATTATTTATTGGACCGCCTTTCCTATTGACACAAAAATACAAACTTGTCAAGAATTTCAGGTCCATTAGGGCTGCTCTTCTTTTTTTCTTTTCTTTTTTGTAGCAAAGGTAAAGTGGATTTGTTTCAATTAGTATTGAACTTTAATTTTAAATATAATCGACACTGACTCTTTTGTTGTTTATGAGAAGAAGGTAAAGTAAGATTTGATTCCAATTTACAAATCTTTATCGTCCCAAAAAATTGCAACAAAGATTATGAAAACACCCCTCTAAAAAAATAATAAATAGAACAGAATTGAGTGATGGCAGCATGAAAATAAATTATTTTTTTTACTTATCTGCTAGATATTGTGCCTGTTATACTTCATCATTCAACTAAGCGTTAATGGGGGAACCAATTATGGTCAACTCTCTTTGAATAATTCATTGTACATAGGCACTTCCGAAGAGATGTTTTCCTAAATTTATCATGAAACTTGATAGAATTTCCACCCCCCTCTCTTTCCCATCAACAACAAAAGTAGCAAAGGTTGGCAATCTGAAATTGAATACTCAAGAAAGCATTCCGACTACATTTTTTTCCCTTTCCTTTTCAATTCCGATTGATGACACGCCGAAGTTGTGAAAACAAATGGTTACTATCGATTCAGGTGCGCGATTTCTTTCAGATTTCAAGTTCTTATCTTCTCAAGACTTGTCTTGTAATTAACAAATAGAGTGATTTTTTTTGTTTTGTTTGGTGAACACAAATACAACAAAGTGTAATAAGGGTGTAAATAGGTTAGGTTAAGTTAGACTTTGCATTAGATAGGTTAAGTCTGTGTAAAAAATATTAAGGCTGCCCTGACTTATTAGTCTGTGTTGGCTTAAATTACAAATTTGACCTGACTTATATTTAAAAAATAAAAACTTAGCCTAGGTTTTTCAGCCGGTTTAAGCTTACTAAACATTCAATAATTCAAAAAATAACTAAAATAATACATTTTTTTTATTCAAAATTATTAAAATAATACTTTATTTTTTTTAAATAAATAATGTGATATAGGCCGGCCTGTAAGCTTATAGGCCCGACATGTATAAAAAAGCCTATGACTTGCTTTCTAAATAAGTTTTTTAAAAAACCTAGGCATATTCTATTTAACTATTTACAATAGCCCAAACATGACCTAATATAGGCAAGACCATAGGCCCATGTAAGCCGACCTAGCCCATTTACACACTTACTTGAGAGTGTGCTTATGTTGTACCGACACTAACATGAGACACGAGATACACGATATACGATATGACACGACACATATTCTGACACATTAATTCTATAAAATGTTAGATCTCGATACGTTAAGACATGTTTTGATATTAAATAATATTTTTAATTCATGTAGTGTATATTATATTTAATATTCAATAATTTAACAAAAAAATGAAGTTAAACTTATAATACTCATCAATTTTGCAAAGAAACATAATATATCACAAATAATTATATAAACTCAATAAAATAGTAATCGTAATCCAACGAATCTAATAATTAAATTTAAAAACATAATGCAACGCAACCTTTTAACTTTTTTCAAATTTTTTGAATTGTCGATGCATCTTTGTAGGGTGCACCTACACATAAAATCTTACTGTTAGAGTATTTTTTTTTTTTTTTAGTAGATGCAATTAGAGTGATTTAATGGTAAAGGATTTGGGTAATTTATAGTTGTTTTAAACTTCTTTATCTTCCTCTATGAAAAAGGAACTAAATTTCTCTGCATATGCCATTATCTTATGTAACAGTTCAGTCATAATGAGCTCATAAACACATCATATTCTCAAATCATTTTTTTTCTTTCATAACCATAATAATAACTCCATCTTATGTTTTCCAAAATAATAATATTAATAACTCCAGCTTATTGATCACTCTCTCTTAGCCGCTGTCGGCAATGTAACTAATCAATTTACTCAGTTGGGTCAATAATTATGGCTAATGACAACAACAACCATTGAAGGGGAGCTATAGGGAAACTTTTAAGGCATAAAAGTATCAAAGTTCAAGATTTTGATATCTGTAATTATGAATGACATAGCCAATTGGGTCTGGTCTTGTACATCTCTTTTATTCATGATTGATGATACCGAATTGGTATTTTTGGTTGTGAGGTTGATGTTTATGATTTGAGACTCATTCCATTTTTCTCTTGCATGATTTGCTAATCTGTCTGAAAGGAAGAAAACACAAAGCGCAGCTATCACCCAAAGCTAAGAACACGGATTATGTTGCAAATGCTGAAAAATTCGATAACTTGAAGATTATGGTCATGGAGTGCTGATCCCGTTAGGCTCAAATGATAATGACATAAAGCGCTTCTTTCTTCTCAGATAAGCACTTTTTCCATGACGTACAACATATGAAAATATGATCTCATCTATTCCCTTGCATATAAATTGGATATTACAGCCGTATTAAATTATCATTCCGTTGTTATACAAAAAAAAAAAAAAATTATCATTCCGTTTCACTTCAACAGCAAATTTATCCTAAAGAGATTAATTATTAATATAAGGAAAAATTCTTGGCACATCATATAAGAATATTTATAATTTACAATAGTAGGTTTTTTATATGATAAATTTAAAATAAAAAATAATGAAACCACTTTGAAAGTTTTCATCATGTCATACATATCATATTCAATATTTCATAATTATAGAACATCTATAGTTGGCACTTGGCACTTGGCACTTCTATAGCGGGGTGGCTAATCTGCTTGTCGAACCTAACAATCTGTGCTCTTTTATGCCCACAAAATGGGTGTGCCTTATACTTGGGCTTTGGGCTACACATTGAGATCTAAAAACCAGTTACTGTTTTTTGTTACAATTAACAAGTTTCATTTTTGCTTTAGATCTTCTCAGCCAAAGTAAGAGAGTTAATTTTTCAGCAAAACAAAATGAGATAAACACATTAGCTGATTAACACATTAGTGAATGCTTTAGTGAATGCTATGTGAACATCAAAGTATTTGCTTTAGTGAATGCTATGTGAACATCAAAGTATTTGCTCAAAACTTACATATGCCATTGTAAGTTGGCAATAATTCATCTAAAAAACAAATGAGTTGGGTGTAACACTATTTTTATTATTTGTGTAGAAATGTCATCATTTATTAAAATTTAGTTTTTTTTCACATCTGTTAATTTGGTGATTAACACATTAGCTGATTTGGCTCCTTGATATAAAAGAGTAACTGCCTATGAATTAACTATCTCTCAAAGCAATTTGTTAGTAGACATGGTCTACAAATTATTCATGTATCTAAACATGAGTCAGGAAATAAAACTTACAAAATCGAGTTCATGGAAGAAGAATACTAATTTCACAACATACAGACAGAGAGATCAAGCTTCAGTACCCATTAAGATGTGATCTGGCGTAAATTATCTACTTCAAATTCAATAATCCCCTTAGATATCTGGCCAGGTTGTATATTGAACCTCATGATTATTTAATTAGAATCTTGATTGTTTAGTTTCTTGTCATGTGAGAAATTAAGGGGGTGTATTAGATTAAGATTTTAAAAGATTTATTTGAGATAAAAAATCTTATAGATTTTAAAAGGGTTATAATGTTTCTAAAGTAAATGTAGATAAGTTATCTACATTCGCTCTCAAAACGATGTCGTTTTGAGTTGAAAAATTAAAAAGTTCTAATGAAAAGACTATTATAATCTTGAAATAAATTATAATTATAAAAATACCTTGATTTTCACCTTAAAACGACGTCATTTTGAACTCAATGTAGATAAGTTATCTACATTGACCGTAGAAAAAATGAATCCTTTTAAAAGACTAATCAAAATTGGAAGGACTTTAGAAACTTTTTTAAAAGACTTTTTTTACAATCAAGATTTCATAAGATTGAGTTTTAAAGAATTTTAATAGAATTTATAAGATTTGAAAGAATAATATGGATTTATAAGATTTTAAAAAACCATATGAATTTTTAACAAACATTCAAAATTATAAGAGTCAATAAAAAAAATTAACAAAGAAATGCAATGATATTAAACAAAAAAGTAAAACATAATATAATTTTCTCAATTAGTAAAGTTCATGATAAATTTTTGTTTGAAATTTTTTGCAATTGATCTTGTAATACTTGGAGTTTTTGTTCTACGTGATGATAGTTTTCTAACCATATATCATATGCATGTTTTTATTGAGTATTCCAAGAAAATTTTGAATCTGAATTTTTGGATTTTATTACATGAAAAGTTAGATAAATTTTCAAATTATTTTCAATCAATACATTGAAACCTTAAATTGATTTGGGGGTTTTGAAAAATAAGTTTTTAGTGATCTAGTGACATAAAAATTATTTGAAATCGTTTTCTATAGCGAAGGAATTTCGTTCATGAATGTATTGTTATGAAATATAGGGTTTATATCATGAAAGTTTCAATTTTTTTAAATCGATCTTGTTCCATTGATGTAAAATGAAAATTGGCTCGGGGGTTTCTGTTCTTCTGTTGTTTTCCCATTATTTTTAATACAATAATCACACATTTTTGTACTAAGAAAAATCATGACCAATAGCTTGAAAAATCATTTTTTAAACTTTAAAAAATTCTCCAAAATCTGTTATTTTGTTGGTTGTTGTTTATGGTTGTTTTGTGATGAAAATCACTCAAAAATCTATTATAATTTGAGCTTTGACGAATCTCCTATGGCGAAACTTTTTTTCGAGCAGGTCGACCCGCCAAAGGAAGAAGAAGACAATGCAATAGAGAAATCTTAAGAAATCCTAGGGGTTATGGTGAAATTGTGAGAGAGACATTCTATTTATATTTGTCACTAAAATGTCTCACGAAATCCACACCAATAAAAAATTCATTAAAATCGTCAAATTTTTGAATACCACAA